TGTGTCTCAAGCGGCGGACGAGCGCCAACAAGGCGAAGCTGGCGGCCGGGCTGGAGCTGCCCAGCCGCCCGGCCCAGCTCTCCCAGTGCCTGCCCTCGACGCTCGGCGAGGCTGCCAGACCCGGTGAGCTGGGGTGGCCCCGGGCTGCGGGCCGAGAAGCACTGGGTGCTCTGGGGTTTGGCGATCGGCACCCCCGCACGGAGCAGGGTTGCCTGACCTTGCTGGCGGCCGCTCAGCTCCGCCGGTGCGGGAAAGCCGTTGTTGTTCGTGCAGGGAGATGCGCTGCCAGCAGGCACGGGGAGCGAGGTTCGCGGGTGGTTCCCTCTGCCCCTCGGCTGCAAGACAGCCTCTGTCGGGGGCTGCAGTAAGAGCACCCTCACCCTGTCTCTGTGGAGCTGGCACAGCCCTACCAGGTGACCGTTACTTCTCCTTGAAGGGTTGCTCCATAAGCTGTTGTTAAATCTGTGTGAAGAGATGGGTGATCGACCGTATGAGGGCAAGTACCATTCCATGAAACCATAACTGACCGAGAGAGGAAACCAGGGAAGACGAAAGGGAATATCTTGGAAGTAACAAAACGGCAAAGTCTGAGCTTTTAGGTTGAGCTACCTGGAAAAAAGCTGGCTTTGCTTTTGTTTTCCTTGACAAGCTGAGTGACTTGTGATCAAGTGCTCTCAGAGTCACGTTTAGGATTTGGACATTGCCCTTGCCTTGGCTGCCCATGTGCTGTCAGCACTGGAGTTTGGTAGAGCCCTGCTTCACCATTCCACCTTTATTTTACCTTAATGCCTGATGTTACACGCAGCATTTCCTAAATGGCTTGCACTGGTTTAGTCAGCTCCTGCCCATTTTGATTTATAATAGCACATTTCTAAGTAGCCATCACTTGCTCCTGAGGGTTTCAGGAGACTGAGTGCTCCAGAGATGACTGTGTGTTGGCACAGCACTGATGTTCCTGTCTGTTCAGGTGGTAGTGCTACAGCAGTTACTATATGTTTAGGTGTAAGAATAGAGTCTGTTTCTGGATTAAGAATATTGGAGCAAAGGTGGTCTTCCCAGGGAACGTTGTGGAGCCTTGGCTCCTCATCCTGCCTTTCAGGGCTAGTGAAAACTCCTTCCCTTAGTCCTTGTTTCCCTTTGTTTTGCAGGACTGGTGACTTCAGGAGAGGCTCCACAACCTTGTCGTCCAGACAGCTGCTTTCCTTCCTCCACCAGAGCGGCCTCATGCCAGAACCACCCTGCTTTCCAGATAAGGACTTCCCAGCAGCCTCCGGCCCCTTGCAGACCATGGCAGGGTTCTGTTGGGTCGCTGCCAGGGCACTGGGCTTCCCCAGCTTTCCCAGGCCAGGGGGCTCCCTTTCCAGTCGTCCGCAAGTGCTGCACGGAGGTCACATACACTCTGCAGACGGTGTGCTCCCTTCTGCCACTTCAGCGATGGGCTCCAGCTGGTGCTGCCCTTCCAGAACCCGGCAGCTGCGCGTCTCCAGGGCAGTGCTTGCAAGGCCTGGATCCAACACGTACGGCAAAAGTTCTCCACTTGCTGCTTGAGAAGTTCCTGCAAAGTGGTGCATGAAATGTTTTCCCCCAGTGCTCTGTCACTGCGTGTGTATCTGACGTGTGTGCTTGCAGTGAGATGTGTGTTCCCTGTCCGTTACTTGCTACCAGCCGGTGACAGAATGTGCTTTAGCTGCTCATTTCTTCTGGCTCTGATGAGATGAACTGTATCAGAGACAGAAGAGCTTAGAAATGCCTTCTCTGCAATGAGCAGGGAAGGACAAAAGTGTGTGGGTGAAGCAGGTGTGTGTGGAATCTTGATTCAGCTGGAAGACCTGAAGTATTACAAATGAATTGGCCCCTTTGCTGGCCGAGCCCATCAGTGGGATTTCCACAGGTGCAGTTTTTCTTGCTGTTAGATCAGGCACTGCTGCAGGTGGCAAAAAAACCCCCAAGAAAATGTGTTGTGAGTGCAAAGCATTCTTTTTGTGCACCGTTCCACACTTCAGACCCGTTCAGAATTGGTCTCCAGTCTGGGCTGCTACATGGTTATGTTTGTTCTCCTCCCCTTGATGTACAGGCATTACAGCACGTTTGATTCATGAGCTGCTTTCACTATAAGCTCTACTAAGTGCAAGAGTTGTGCAATTTCTACTTTACTTGTAGCTTTTTATAGCGTGTGATCTGGACTTTGTGTTTTACACTTGCCTCCTGTTTCACAAGTGCTTCTTCCCTTTGGGTTCTTCCTTTTCTTCTCTTAGGAGCTAGGCTCTTTGTACTAAATGTTTGTTTGCTTAGGATCACTCCAGCAGGCTACAGCCAATCTCTGCTTTGCTCTCTCACCCTGTTTTTAGAGTAGCCCTTTAGGTTTCTTTGGTGGTTTTCTTGGGTTTGTCAACATGCTTTGGCGTTCCGAGGGACTGAGGCCCAGGTATCATTAGATTTTTGGCACTATGCAGAACTGTAATATAAGATCCCATTTTCATTCCAGTGTGTGTGTGTGTGAACATGCAGGCCCTTCCTGTGTGAATCCCCTTTCTGTGGTGTGTTGTGTTGAGACAGTGCAGCAGCCAAATCAAAAAGGTGATATTAAGACAGAGAAGAGTGAACATGAAGATTCCGTGTGTGTGTGTTGGTTAATTCTACAATACGTAGGTTTGAAATATGTCCACGTACTTTAGGAGAAATATGTTTTAAGGTGGAGAACACAGTCTTACAATCAGTGGGGAGGTCATAATCCATTTCAGGGAGTTAGCTTACGGAGCGGTTACTGCAGTGTTTAATGCAAGTAAGCAATAGAACTGTGCACCCTGGGCACCAGTTCTGGCAGTCTGATCCCTGTGTTTGAATTTTGCAGTCACCCTGCAGTGTTCACCCCCTGCCCAGGGAGCACCTCTGACTGTCAGCGCCAGTGCTGCGGCTGCGGCGTCCACCGACTGCGTCTTTGTGCAGGTGAGTGCAGCGCACAGCGAGCAGGGGGAAGGGAGGAGAGCCCACGCATGGACCGCAGGGTTCTGGGCTTGCGGCAGGAAGGAGAGAAGTTTGGGACTGGATCTGCTGTAGAAAGAGAAAGTAACGTGGTTTGCCAATGCCCATTTCAAAGCACGGCTTTGAAACATGAAGGGGTCAGTGCTGTAACGCAGGTAAGGTTTCAGGGCAGCGGCATAGTGGGTGTCCTCATCGGGGGAGTGGTTTTTCCTGGAAAAGTGTTACATTTGACTTCACCATAATTCGCTTTAGTTCCCGAGTCTCCATTTGTCTTTGAAGAAAGCCCTTGCCTGCACAAAATGGGATTCTTTAATGTTATGATACTGGGAATCAGCTCCACTTCTGTGCCCCAGACAGCTTGTGGCAGTCCTGAGTTTCAGTGGATGCATGAGAAGAACCAAGCTGACTTTTGGAATTGACCCCAGCTCAGAGCTGTCCTATCTGGGAGAGCTCCAGTGCTTCCTGTCAATGCTTGCTAAAATTCTGGTGGAAATTGCACCTCATTGGGTGGCCTGGCTTATCAAATAGCAAAAGAACCTCAGTGAAAATGCCAGAGCTTCCTTTCACATTCTAGCAGCATGTATATCCTTTTTTTCCTGAGAGGGGATAAACAAAGCAAACTCTTCTGGTGTGTGCTGAAAAAGGGTTGGCCTGCACAGTCCTCAGGAGCAGTAAAATCCATCAGCCCTGACTGAAAATGGTGGTGATTTTTTGATCTAGAAATTCCCTGTATTTTGTTTCTCCCAGAGTCCTGAAGTGCAGCCACCTCCTGCAGCTGAATGCCTGCCCTCTGATGGCGCACAGCACACATCTGAGAATGAGGAGAAGCTGCCAGAATTAAGTTATGAAGATGTATTTCAGTTTTTCAGTGAGATGAATGCATCAGGCAGCACAGATGCAGTGACACCGGAGGCTGCAGAAAGCTGGGGTGGAGAGCTGTTTGAAAGCTGCATCAATGCGGCCAAAGAAAGTGCCGCTGCTGCTGACACGGCACAAGAGTTTGTGACCACCCAGGGAGCCCCTGAAGAACAGGGAGAAGAGCTGGATCACAGCCCAGCTCAACCATCCGAACTGTTTGTTGTGGAAGCGCTGTTTAGTGCAGAGCAAGTAAGTGCTAAAAGGAGGTAAAACTCCTTGGGAAAGTGTTGAGTGGTCTTTGGGTTTATTTCATTTTTTGGTGTGTTTATTTAAAGGAGAATGGGAGTCTTACATGTGGATGGGTGATGGAAGAGAGAGAACTGACTCCAGGACCCAAGGCAGTGAAGAAAGCTGCAGAAGAGGCAGGGTCCCCTGCAAAGCATCTGTGCAGGAAGAGAAGATGCAGCTCAGAGCAGGGTAGGTCCCTGCTAAGAGATGCTGCATGTTTTAGAGGTGGGCAAGACAGGTGCTCTGAAACTCTTCCACGAAGGGGAGATCACAAGAGCTGAGTTATTGTCTGCAGTGTAAGTACCTTCCCGGGCCTTCAGTTCAACTATTGCACTCGTACGGGCTCTTGGCGTACTTGCCCACACGCTTCTATACGTAAGCTGGTGCTGAGGACTCCTGGGTGGACAAGGGAATAAATTCTATGTGTCAATAAAAGCTGAAGGTGTGGGAGTTGTGTCAGAGCCCCGCATGTCACAGTACACAGCACTGAGATGCAGGCTGTGGATATGTTTGCTGGAGGGTGACAGTGCCACAAAGGGAACACTGACTAATGAGGTGACTGTTGAAGTAAGAGGGGAAAACCCCACCACGCTGCCGAAGTGAGGGCACGAGTGCAACCTTTCTGTCTCAGATCACTAAATAAATTTTACAGCAGCCTGCTGATAGGTGTGCTGCATCTGTGTGCACAGCACCTGTGTGCTGCAACAGAGGAGAAAAACAGCCTCAGATTTTCAAGTCGCAGGCCGCCTTTGGCCGGATTTGACTGTCCCTGATGGCAGCAGAGTTGCTGTGCGTGCTGCCAGGTGAGCCACAGGCAGGGCCTGATACTTCCTCGGTGTTGTTTGCTTCCTAGATCACCAGGAGCTGGAAGGCGGAGCCTGGAAGCGGGGCTGCTTCTGGAGGGAGACACCAGAGTGAGGAGCATGGGAACAGGCGGAGCAGCTGGTTCCCTCCTGCGAGTTATTTATAGCCTTATTTATATATTTATATCTTATTTATAGCTTTATTCCTAAATTTCTTATTTATAGCCTTATTGATAAATTTATAGCTTATTTATAGACTTATTTATAAATTTATAGCTGATTTATAGCTTTATTCCTAAATTTTTATCTTATTTATAGCCTTAGTTTTATATTTATAGCTTACTTATAGCTTTATTCTTAAATTTGTATCTTATTTATAGCCTTATTTATATATTTATAGCTTATTTATAGGTTTATTCCTAAATTTCTATGTTATTTATAGCCTTAGTTATATATTTATATCTTCTTTATAGCTTTATTCCCAAATTTCTACCTTATTTATAACCTTACAAATGTATATCTTATTTATAGCCTTATTCATACATTCATATCTTATTTAGAGCTTTATTCCTAATTTGTATCTTATTTATAGCCTTATTTATAAATTTATAGCTTATTTATAGCTTTATTCCTAAATTTCTATCTTACTTATAGACTTATTTATATATTTATAGCTTATTTATAGCTTTATTCCTAAATTTGTATCTTATTTATAGACTTATTTATATATTTATAGCTTATTTATAGCTTTATTCCTAAATTTGTATCTTATTTATAGCCTTATTTATGTATTTATAGCTTATTTATAGCTTTATTCCTAAATTTTTATCTTATTTATAGCCTTATTCATATATTTATAGCTTATTTATAGCTTTCTTCCTAAATTTTTATCTTATTTCTAGCCTTATTTATATATTTATAGCTTATTTATAGCTTTATTCCTAAATTTGTATCTTATTCATAGCCTTATTTATATATTTATAGCTTATTTATAGCTTTATTCCTAAATTTCTATCTTAGTTATAGCCTTATTTATAAATTTTATATCTTATTTACAGCTTTATTCTTAAATTTGTATCTTATTTATAGCCTTAGTTATATATTCATAGCTGATTTATAGCTTTATTCCTAAATTTGTATCTTATTTATAGCCTTATTTATATATTTATAGCTTATTTATAGCTTTATTCCTAAATTTTTATCTTATTCATAGCCTTATTTTTATATTTATAGCTTATTTATAGCTTTATTCCTAAATTTTTATCTTATTTCTAGCCTTATTTATATATTAATAGCTTATTTATAGCTTTATTCCTAAATTTCTATCTTACTTATAGCCTTATTTATAAATTTATAGCTTATTTATAGCTTTCTTCCTAAATTTGTATCTTATTTATAGCCTTAATTATATATTTATAGCTTATTTATAGCTTTATTCCTAAATTTGTATCTTATTCATAGCCTTATTTATATATTTATAGCTTATTTATAGCTTTATTCCTAAATTTCTATCTTAGTTATAGCCTTATTTATAAATTTTATATCTTATTTACAGCTTTATTCTTAAATTTGTATCTTATTTATAGCCTTAGTTATATATTTATAGCTTATTTATAGCTTTATTCCTAAATTTTTATCTTATTTATAGCCTTAGTTATATATTTATAGCTTATTTATAGCTTTAGTCCTAAATTTGTATCTTCTTTATAGCCTTATGTATAAATTCATAGCTTAATTATAGCTTTATTCCTATATTTGTATCATATTTATAGCTTTATTTAGAAATCTATACCTTATTTATAGGTTTATTCCTAAATTTTTATCTTATTTATAGCCTTATTTATAAATTTATAGCTTATTTATAGCTTTATTCTTAAATCTGTATCTTATTTATAGCCTTATTTATAAATTTATAGCTTATTTATAGCTTTATTCGTAAATTTGTATCTTATTTATAGCCTTATTTATATATTTATAGCTTCTTTATAGCTTTATTCCTAAATTTCTACCTTATTTATAACCTTACAAATGTATATCTTATTTATAGCCTTATTCATAAATTCATATCTTATTTATAGCTTTATTCCTAAATTTGTATCTTAATTATTGCTTTATTCATAACTTTGTATTTTATTTGTAGCTTTATTTAGAAATTTATGTGTTATTTATAGCTTTATTTAGAAATATCTATGCTATTTATAGCTTTATTGAGAAATTTATGTTATTTCTAAATTTGTTATTTATAGCTTTATTTCTAAATGTGTGTCTTATTTATTGCGTTATTCATACGTCTGTATGTTATTTATAGCTTTATTTATCAATTTATGTGTTACAGCTTTAAAAATTTATGTTATTTCTAGCTTTAATCATAATTTTGTATCTTATTTAGATCCTTATAAATTTATAAGTTATTTATAACTTTAGTCATAATTTTTATCGGATTTAGAGCTTTATTCATTGATTTGTATGCTATTTATAGCTTTATTTCTAAATTTGTGTGTTATTAATAGCCTTATTTATAAATTTATATCTTATTTATGGCTTTTTTCCTAATTTTGTTTCTTATTTATAGCTTTATTTAGAAATTTATGTGTTATTTATAGCTTTATTTATGAATATCTATGCTATCTATAGCTTTATTTAGAAATTTATGTTATAGCTGTAGTCATAAATTTGTATCTTATTTATAGCTTTATTTAGAAATTTGTCTTCTTGCTTTATTCATGTCTGTAGCTAATATCTTTATTCATCAATGTATGTGTTTATAATATAGCTTTATAAAGTTATGTTATTTCTACCTTTAGTCATAATTTTGTATCTTATTTAGAGCTTTATTCCTAACCATGAATCTTATTTTTAGCTTTATTTATACATTTATGTGTTATTTAAGGCTTTATTGGTAAATATCTATGTGATTTATAGCTTTATTTAGAAATCTGTGTTATAGATTTTGTCCTAAATTTGTATGTTATTAATAGCTTTATTTATAAATTTGTATCTTATTTATTGCTTGGTTCATAAGTCTGTATCTTATTTCTAGCTTTATTCATCAATGTATGTGTTATTTATAGCTTTATAAATTTATATGTTATTTCTAGCTTTAGTCATAATTTTGTATCTTATAGCTTTATAAATTTATAAGCTATTTATAGCTTTAGTCATAACTTTGTATGTTATATAGAGCTTTATTCATAAATTTATGTCTTATTTATAGCTTTATATATAAACAGCTATATATATAGCTTTATTCCTAAATTTGTATCATATTTATAGCTTTATTTAGAAATCTATACCTTATTTATAGCTTTATTCCTAAATTTTTATCTTCTCCGTAAATTTATAGCTTATTTATAGCTTTATTCGTATATTTGTATCTTATTTATAGCCTTATTTATAAATTAATATCTTATTTATAGCTTTATTCCTAAATTTTTATCTTATTAATAGCCTTATTTTTATATTTATAGCATATTTATAGCTTTATTCCTAAATTTTTATATTATTTATAGCCTTATTCATATATTTATAGCTTATTTATATCTTTATTCCTAAATTTCTATCTTATTTATAGCCTTATTGATAAATTTGTATCTTATTTATAGCTTTTTCCTAAATTTCTATCTTATTTATAGCCTTATTTATAAATTCATAGCTTATTTATAGCTTTATTCCTAAATTTGTATCATATTTATAGCTTTATTTAGAAATCTATACCTTATTTATAGCTTTATTCCTAAATTTTTATCTTCTGCATAAATTTATAGCTTATTTATAGCTTTATTCCTAAATTTGTATCTTATTTATAGCCTTATTTATAAATTAATATCTTATTTATAGCTTTATTCCTAAATTTTTATCTTATTTATAGCCTTATTCATATATTTATAGCTTATTTATATCTTTATTCCTAAATTTCTATCTTATTTATAGCCTTATTGATAAATTTATAGCTTATTTATAGCTTTATTCCTAAATTTCTATCTTATTTATAGCCTTATTTATAAATTCATATCTTATTTATAGCTTTTTCCTAAATTTGTATCTTAATTATTGCTTTATTCGTAACTTTGTATTTTATTTGTAGCTTTATTTATATATTTATGTGTTATTTATAGCTTTATTAACAAATATCTATGCTATTTATAGCTTTATTTAGAAATTTATGTTATTTATAGCTTTATTTCTAAATTTGTTATTTATGGCTTTATTTCTAAATGTATGTCTTACTTTTTGCATTATTCATAAGTCTGTATGTTATTTATAGCTTTATTTATCAATTTATGTGTTATTTATAGCTTTAAAAATTTATGTTATTTCTAGCTTTAACCATAATTTTGTATCTTATTTAGAGCTTTATAAATTTATAAGTTATTTATTGCTTTAGTC